GTCATTAAAAAAATTAAAATAACTTATTTTTAATTCAAAATTAAATTTATTTTAATTTTTTTGATAATATTTTAATTAAATAATGTAATTTTGAAATATTTTTTCTCATAACCTTTTTAAGCTCGACTAACAAACACTAATCTCTATTAGATATGACTCTGCCAATTAATATATTTAGAGTCTCAACAAAACATCACCAGAGAAGTTAGATCGGAGATCATACATTCTTTACTGGCTCATGTTCTCATAGAAGCAAAGAACCATGATAATAACTGAGTGCAAAAGAATAATTAAACAAGATCCATAGGAGCACTAAACATTTGACATCCTTAATATAATATTGCGAAGGGAAAAAATAATGATGCCTGAATTTAGCAGCACGAGTTTACTATCAACTTCATGGTTCCCTCCCGAGTTGTAATGCTAATTTCCATGTTTGAAGAGGAGAGAAGACAGGATGGCCCTCCATCCGTAAATCAATGAAGGTTCTTGCTTTTTGGGTACGAGGGATGCCAGACCTATCCCCGAGCTGTGACTAGGCATGATCTCCCGCTTGACATTAGTGACTGAGGACCTAGAAAAGATGTTAAAAAGAACATTACCCAAATTTCAGTGACATTGTTTAATCATAAAGGTCAGTCTGCTTTATCTTGCAAGAAAATTTTTTGAATGTAATTCACACACTATGCAAGCTTATTTAGTTGCTAATTAATTAAAACAATCAAGCTTGTGAATAGGATACTTGTTCATAAAGTTCATCAGAAAACGAGTGCAAAGGAAGAAGTCGGACAAAGAGGGAGAACAAAGAGAGGAGAGAAAGTCCGCTGTGTGTGTGCACACATGTATAGTATTTTGTCAAATCTGACTAAGAAATCTACAATCAATGGTCATAATAAAAATGCATTACGAAGATGTGCTAAACTTTTGATATATGAAAAAGCATGAAAATAATTGAGCTTTATTAGAAGAATTCAACAAGTTCTACTTTTATAACATGGAAGCAAATTATTGAATCATAAAAAATGCACAGGTGTAAAGGCAAATATCAATCTCCGCAAAGGAAAATGAATGGCCCAAACTATAAAGATGGCTACTTTTCAATAAAATGCTGTGGACCATTCACCAAGAGCTTAGTAGGAGCTAAACAAATAAAGATAAACACGAAAGACTAAGCATGCTAAGAACTTGGGAAAGGGTTCTTATTAGCAACAAATTACTACGTTGGCCTAGATTATCAGTTCTCAATATTATCCTGCCTATGTTTATAAGAACTGCAATCATGTCAAACCATTTAATAAACATTTCCCCCACTAAAGTTAAGAAAAGAAATGACAAGCACTGCACCCAACATGTACAGGATGCATGATTTTCCTGAAAAATTCTTTTTAGTGGGATATATTCAATAATGTAGATGATTTTGTTCCAAGTTCATTATGGAATGCAGGACAGAGGTTGAGATAAAAAGAGAGAAATCAAACAGAAAGGGATGGGTAAATAGAGGACAGTAGGAGATAGAGTAAGAAATAGGAGTAAGGGTAGAGAACCAGAGTACACTATTTAGAGGGGATGCTCAAATATTATTTGCAGATAAAGAACCTCAAATATTCTTGAAAATTCAATTCATAACATGACATGACTGAATGCATAAAAATATATTTATAGAACCTAAAAGCCACATTTTGAGCTAATAATTTCTCTGAAAACACATAATTTACTAGAATTATTTCTAATCGAAACAGGAAAGTAAATAATAACCTAAATTCTAGGTCCTACGATTACATTGAAATTGAAAATTAAAAAGGCAATAGAAATTACATAATAACCTTAAATTATATGAATAATTCTTCTGTGATATTTTAAGTTCCAATAAACATATAACTATGGGTCCAGGTAGCCCTAAAGTAAATCTCACGAAAACTACACATTTTTGAGCCCTAGAAGATAGATCTTGTGAACCAAAAAAGGAACAGGTTTTGTGAGGTCTGTTGTTGAAGCCTTATAATGCACCAATGCATAACAAACAAAGACTACCCAAATTACAAAGTGATACAACAACATCTCTCAAGTATTGATCTAACAGCTCACAAGATTTTCAATCAGTTTACAGGGAATAGGATAGAAATAATCTATTTGCTATGCAACAATCAACAAATGAAAAAATTGTGTGAGCATGGTCTCTTGTCTTTAAGATATACCAAACTAAAAAACCCAACATTTTAAAAAATGCCCAAGCATAGGGAGGACTATATCTGAGTGGAAAGGCAGATAATCAACTTCACAAGAAGACTCAAGGTCAAGGGCACCAAATCCAGCCTGCCAAGAGGCAAAATACAACCCAATTATTAAATTTTGTAGCAAAAGCAACAGTGCCTTAATCATTGTTTAACTGATGGCAATGGGAGAGAGGTTACCACTTAGTCTACACTAGGAGAGAGAGCAAAACAAAGTAAATGCTTGCTCCTCAACTTTGCGCAAACTCCACTAGACAATTTAAATAGGATATTTCTTCAGAGAAGTTTGTGTCTAGAATTTAGACCTAATCAGTTTCAAGCAATCACATGGAAATCATAATTCGTATAAAACGTGCTAGGACCTCTTTGTCACCTCATTCTGAAAATACTTTTAAAACAAAAATTTATTGCATAGGCAGCGTAATTCTTAACACCGAAACAACAAAAAGAAACAATAAACAAGATGATCTTCAAATAACATAAAAGACTTGCAAACAAAAATTTTGAAAGACTGTTATTCTCTGTCTCGATTTAATTGAATCAACTTTCGAATTGACAGTCGCAAGAGATGGAAAGCATATAAGATGACTTACACAGAAGATGGTGTGCCTTGATATGCAAATGTAGACATGCCTTGTCGTTGCTTGTGCTTAGGATTGGCAGTGCAGAGTACATAAACACGACCACGACGCTTAACAGTTCTACAGAACTCACACATCTTTTTCACAGATGATCTCACCTTCATGGCTCCTGAATATCAAAGCGAACACAATATCAATCACTAAACCACACTACACTCCATGCATAAGCCTTAAGCAACAAGCAAAATAATAACCACAACAAGCAATCCTGAAAACCCTAAAAGGAACTGAGAAATTAAGCATGAAAGGAAGTAGGATCTAGTCCGGAATTGAAGAAAATAGGTTTGAAATTCCGTGGAGAGATACCAGATTGGATTTGAGGATGCTGCGTTTCAAGTTCGAACCTTCTTCTCCTTCTCAGTTCGACTTAAGAGTCTCAATCTGTAAGGGAAATGCTAGCGGCGGCAGCCGGGAATGTGAGGGGTTTAGGATCAGGGGTGGCGAGCTCTGGTCTAGAACCAGTACAGATTTTCTGGCCCAGATCCAATAACAACCCAAAGTCCTTGTTATGTCTAGCTTGTGTGCATTTTGGGCCAGGATTACATTTAGGCCTATTTAGTATAAGGGTTAAATTCTAATAGATAACATAGATGAAACGTAGCGGATAAGATGATGTGTAACAGATAGGGGTAAGCTTTTTTTAGTATAAATTGGGTATGAATACATTTAATATTTGATTTGAAAATTTTTAGATATAATTTTTTAGATTTGATATTTACTTAAATATTTCAAGACCTATACTTAGTATTCTGCAAATATTTAGTAATTTGTGAGTACATATTTATGTACTTGGTTTAGGAAAAGAAAAAGTCTAATATGAGGTACTATTGTTATGTGTTACATATTTGGTTTAGGATTTATTATTTATACAAGTTGTTATTATTTTTCCTAACTTTTATTTATATTTTTTATATTTGATTATTTTTATTTTTAAAAATTATTATTATTAGATAAATACAAAATATAATAAATACATGTAAAATTTTAATTATATAAGTATAGATAACAGATAAGTTAAACAAGTTAAGCAAACAGTTTTAAACCCCTATACAAGTATGCTATTTTTATACCCATTACTTATCTATTTTTTCTACAGTTCAAATATGATACTTATCTAAATAGATAAGGTATTTGCAAGCAAGAGTGTACTCGTACTCACTGCTCACCCTTAATAGCAGCTAGCAAATTATATATAGCAGATTTTGATTGATGTAAATGATTAATTATATAATGGTTAGCAGTTATTATTTGACATTAAATGACTAATGTATAAGAGTTTTTTTAAAAGGAATTAAGTGTATTTTATATTTTATATTTTATATTATTAAAATTATTAATTTTATAAAAATAATATTAATAAAATAAATAAAATAAAATAAAATAAAAAGTGTGAATCACACACTCGACTTCATTTTTAACAAATAAAGAATTATATTACTTTTAAATAAAGGATAAAAACTTTTAATTATTTATTCTAATTAGCAAATTTTATTCATAAACTAATATAAATTTTTTATGACAAGTTAATGCATAAAGTAAAAACATAATAATCACTTAATGTTATTAAAGAAAAAAAATAAAGTTGAAACCAATTAGATAATTAGTAACTAAAAACTATGGCAAAAATTTGAAAAATTAAAATAGATAATTTATTAATAAAATTTAAAAATTTTAATTTGTTAATATTTTGGATTTTATCTGTTATCTACTAATTTTAAATTGTAAAATAAAAAATTTTACTAAATACTTGTTGAGATTTAGAAATAAACAAAGTTACCAAACATCTATTTTATAGTAGTTTAGGTAAAACCACTAATTATTACTCTTGAACCACTAAATTAAACGAGCCTTCACTATAAAGTGTAAATGGTGTGAAATAAAAAACAATATAATTATAATTTGATATAGTATTGTAATATCATAATATAATATATTGTTATATAATTAATTTTTTTTACTATAAATCTCATCTATAATATTATATGTATCTATTTATTTAATGAGATATCACATTTATTTAATAATGTATCATAATTGTAACTTTATTATTTTATGTAATATTATAATTATAACATTGTTGAATTAAAAAAAAATTGCAATATAACACAAATATATTGTACATGATATAATCAATTAATGAAAAATTGTCAGACCTATAAATTAATAATAAGGTAAACTTTTCTTTCATTCACTACGATCCATATGAGTCGATGTGCATATTCACTTTTAATACTTCATCAAATTCTCTTGTATGGCTGCTAATAATTTATGTAATTTAATAATAATTTTTTTAATAAAAACAAAATATTTTAAGTTTAAATTATATGATATGTAAGTAAAATTAATTAAAAGATGAGAAAAAATTATTTCATGTTATACAACTTAAGATACAAAAAAAACATCGAGAATGTGCTGGGCTAGGCTATTTTCAGGTTAATTAAGTCTTTTATGTTATGGAAATAATCCCCTACCTGTTATTTAATAACTTTTTTCTCTTTTCTCAGATTCTATCCTTAAGTTTTATATACTTTCTATAGTTAAATTTACTTGCCTTAATTTGATTTTTATACAAAATTTGATTAAATAGTTTTATACACTCCAACCTTCTGTCATTTTTAATAGACTAGTTTTTTTTTTTTTTTTTTTGGTGAAATAATAATCTTGTATTGATAAAGAGATATATCTAATAAAATATAACTTTATCGTAGTTAGAGGTAACATAGTAACTTATAATTCTCATAAATCATGATAAATATATTTCTTAAAAGAACAAAGTAGTCTGGAAAATAAATTAAGGGAAAAGGAAAAATTAGGATATCTTGATGGTATGTTAAGACATTTAATAATAGTTATATGATAAATTTGATAAAGTAATGATCTATATTTATTTAATGACTGTAATTAGACGTCTTGATCTTTTTAATATTAAGACGTCTTGATTTTTGCTTTTCTCATGTATCAAACTAGAAAAGGCTAACTAAACAAATATCTAGGATAACTAAATTACTCTCTCATCTCTAGAGTATTAGTTACACTGCGACAACATACCAGACACCATGTGAGCTTCATCCAAAGCTACTAACTTAGCCTGAGGGATGGAGGTCTAAACTTGACCTCCCGTGCAACATAACTGGAGAGAATAGCACCCTACCTCCCTCAAAAACCAAAACAGGCCAACCAACAAGTCCCTTCACAAAAATCACATGTTACATATTTAGAAATGGTGCCAAAATTATTGTAAACAAATATTCAAGGTAGTTTCAAATGTTGGCATTGTAGGTTTGACATTGGTAGACAAATTATGTCTTAAGTATGAAAATGAATTCAATTTTTGAATTCAAAACTTTCCATGGGACATGACTATTAATCAAATATACATATCTATTTAGTTTGAATGAATAAACATAACCATTCATTGTAAAAGGTCATGTTTGTTAAGAGGTGACCTTTTATTAAATGACATAACTCTTGGTT